CCAACAGGAACAAGCAAACAAACCTTCCTGTTGTAATGACAATTCAAACCAAGATACATTTGTTTACAAAATTATCAGGAGAGGAGTGTTAAAATGAGTAGACATATATACTCACCTGCAAGTCCTTAACATATTATTAATATGGAGAGTTGATTGGTTAATAATAGCAGGCAAATTGAAAATATGAATAGTTTCATGTTAGAAATGAGATTTAAAAATTTAAGATTTACATTATTCTTTATTAGAACTCTTTATATGCCTAGTTAGTTTAGCAAAAATGCTCTTACTGACATTTCAACTGTTTTATTGTGTAGATGACTTTACAATAGGAGATATGCATTAGATAGTTAAATATTAATGATCTTGCAGACTAATTTGTTTATATCACTATATGCTAGCTATTAAAAAAATTCTATATAAGNGTTGAATAAATTATTAATGATTCTTTGAATATATTATTAAGGTATAACTAAGTTAAAATTTATTAAATCTATATAATAGTGCTTTTAGCATAAAAAATAAATATACAGTAGAGTGTTGTTTATCTGAAAGTTGGTTATCCAAAACATCGGTTATCCGAAAGAATTCCAGTCAGCAAATTTAAATTTTCACTAATGCTGTTGCACTGCAATCTTTGGCTATATCTTGGGCTACTTTAATATTTTTTTGTTGGTGTGTGTGTGCTTTAGCTGGCAGCACTGGCACTTTTGTGTGGTGTTTTTCTGAGGACTGTGTGTCGTGCTGAATCAAACAGTTTTGATACTAGATTAACTTCTAAAGTATAATTTTTAACAATACAATAGCCACGATTATTATTTTAAAAAGTTTACATTAGGCTTAACAGCGACGAAAATTCAACGCGAAGTGACATGCAACAGAGAAAAATTTCAACATGGGATAGGTTAATATATTTTTTTGTACATAATCGGTTATCCGAAAAATAAGTTATCCGAACAACCTCAGTCCCCAATTGATTTGGATAAACGATGCTCTACTGTATTTATATGTTTCAAAAGGAAGTTCTTTGGTAATTGAGAACAAATAATAGTAAAGTGTTAATGTGTGTTGTTATTTTTCAAGCTAATTGTTTTTTTTAATTAAAACATAACCATACAATTTTCTTCTATATACTTACTAATCATTCTTTTTGCAGTTAATTGATAAATTTACCAATTTATATGATACAGTAATCCCGCCATTTATGCAGTCTCTATTTACATAAATTCACTTCAGCATGGTTGAAAAATGAATAATAATCAACTTTGTGGAAATAAATGATAGTTACATGAAAAAGTGTTTTTTTTTTTAAACAACAGTAACCTCTTATATAGATGTATATCTAGAAAAAAACTTTAGTCAAAACTTTTCTACACTAGTAAGAATAAAATACTGTATTTGAGAATATAAGATTCCTATTTTAAACAGTTTCCATGACTCCGTTTATGTAGTTTTCATTTATGCTCCATATTTCATGGAACCAATGATTTGTCCTAATGGAGGGATTACTGCATTAATATAAAATTCTTAATTTTTGTTAATTGTGAAAATACATTGATTAAATGTTTGCTTACTTAGGGGTGTATGTGTGTGTGTTTTTTTGTAATATTTGTATAAAAAATAAAGATTTTTAGTATTATGGATTTCTGATTATTTTTTTCAGGTTATTATTTATACACGATTTTTATTTTATAAAATATAATTAATATGGAATTAATTAAATAATAATAATTGCACAAAAAGTCATATTTAAATTACTATATGTATAATGACAAATTCAAGATTGCTATAGTCAAGCAGTTATATGGAAAAATTGCATTTTACTGCAAATACCTTTCATTGGCTTCTGAAATTTAACCTTAACAATAAAAACCATTGGCTGTGGATTAATACATTTTAGCTTATAAGCAGAAGCAATTTACTATTTTATATTTAGGAAAAAAATTAAAAGTTTTCTGNGACACCTGTTAAACACTAAAAATGTGAACAAAAACATAAAGTATGTTTGCTAAACTAATTAGGCTTCTTCAGTCAATAATTTGAACATAAAGATGAATACATTCCAATAGAACATAGTTTAAAATTTCAACTTTTAAAATCTAATTCATGGTTATGAGCATCTGATAAACTGTTAAGCCTGGAAAAAGTAATTTAAAAGGATAATGAAAAACAAAAAACTCTTAAATTTTTACACAAATGTTAGGATACAGATTATAAATTTTTTAATATATGAAGAGAAGCATGAGATTGAGATTTTTATCTTAGACATCAAACTGAAAACTTTGATTTTTGATCAAAAGGGTTGACATTAGCAAAAGATCACATATATGGGTGTATGCATTTAGAATGAAGTATGACTCATTAATTTATTTAAAATGCCATTTATAGAGAGAGAGGCTTTCTTATGTACAATACCTGGTCAGTTGAAATGTTTAAAATTATTTAAAAATATCCAAAGTGATTTGTCTAGTTCATTGTGAAGTAAATCCAGAGGAAAAAATTTCATAGAATCTCTGAAAGAGGGAAGATTCTAGATATCCAGGAGCAAAAAATAAATGTTTGGAGAAGAACATCAAAAGTCAGGCACTGCAGGGAGTACATACCAATCCAATAGATTCTCAACCTTTTTTTCGTCATGGTACATTTTTAATAATTTAAAAATTTGGTGGCACGCACGGTTACTTCAGTAAGTACTGCAGGACAACCAGTGACATCATAACAGTGATTTTTAAATGTAGTTGGTTATTTAGGTAACATTTTCTAAATGCTTTGGTAACTACTGGCAGTTACCAGTAATACCAGTTACAATTTCCAAACATGCCCTAGGAAGGTAGAATCGATTGAACTACTTGTCTGATGTCGCTTATATTTGGGTATTCGCAGTGGCAGCACACTTCAAAAATCTTGTGGCACTTTAGCACAGTGGTTGAGAATCACTGCACTAGAGATTTGACAAATCATGACAATGAAGTAGAAGAGAAATAAGCAGAGAATAGAGAACAAATAGTGGGTTGGATGGAAATTGAATATAAAGGGCCCCACACACACACACACTTATGTTGGCAGCTATTCCAGTTTCCTCCCATTAGGGTGTGACTATGCAGATGCAAGCGAGCGAGAATATGTCGTGAGAAGAGGCAAGACGCAATAAATATCAAACCCTGTCAGATATGTGCGAAAACCAGAAATTCACCCATGCCAGTGAGATTTCTCGCTTCTTGCTTGTGCATGTTTTTCTTTGCAAGAACTAATGTATATCACTTGGTACTAAATTCACATTTGCATAGTTACACTCTTACACTGGCACTTTATGAAAAGCACCTATACCTATGTCCTTGGGGGGACAGATTTTTACAGATTGGATGTCTTGATTGGTTTCAAACTTTCCTCTCTCTGACTCAAATGGTCCTACACCTATTTCTAAGTGAAATTGGCGACTTATTTGGATAATGAGAAAGGTCAACATCAAGATTACTTTGACATCAAAATGATCTCATGCAGGGATGTTTTTGCTGATCTTAGGACTCTCCTTGTTTTAAATCAGACAGTGTGTATACTTGTCATTGATAGTTATTGACATTCAGTTTCAATGTTGTTTATAAATTTCCTGCCAAGAATATAAGAATATCAATCCAACAGGAACAAGCAAACAAACCTTCCTGTTGTAATGACAATTCAAACCAAGATACATTTGTTTACAAAATTATCAGGAGAGGAGTGTTAAAATGAGTAGACATATATACTCACCTGCAAGTCCTTAACATATTATTAATATGGAGAGTTGATTGGTTAATAATAGCAGGCAAATTGAAAATATGAATAGTTTCATGTTAGAAATGAGATTTAAAAATTTAAGATTTACATTATTCTTTATTAGAACTCTTTATATGCCTAGTTAGTTTAGCAAAAATGCTCTTACTGACATTTCAACTGTTTTATTGTGTAGATGACTTTACAATAGGAGATATGCATTAGATAGTTAAATATTAATGATCTTGCAGACTAATTTGTTTATATCACTATATGCTAGCTATTAAAAAAATTCTATATAAGAAGAATATTTTAAATTAAACAATAAAAATAATAATTGGCAGAATGTGGATATTGTGAGCAAAACAGAAATATTTAAAAAAATAAAACATCAGAATGCCGAGAATGCAGTTTGTGAAATTTAATCAATTGATAAAATTATATAATATAAAGAAAAATAAAAAGATTATGAATGTACAAGTTTGCATAATATTTAAAAATATTTTAAATATTATGTAAAATTTTAAATACTACTATATAATTTTTCTTTCTGACTTTCATCTTTTCTCCATTCTCATATGTTTTTATTTATTTTGTAATTTATGTAATTGTTATATTAATAATTTAATTCTTGTGTTGTTTATGTTAAATATCTCACTTATAAACAAAAATGTCTATTTTATTTTGAAATTTTATAAATTAATTAGAAATAACTTAAAATTAATAAATAACCTGAAATTTTTACTTTGGATCTTTCATAAAAATAAAATAGACATTTAAAATCCTTAATTTCATTTTTGAAAGTTCAACATGTTTTCTACAAAAAAAAATTATATTCTCTCCATTAAAATTAATTCCTTAAAGAATGTTTAAGCATAAGCAATACTCAGTTTCTAATAGTATTTTATTGTGCTGAAATATTTTTTCATTGATCCAATTTTCATGCTTACCATATGTGGTAACAACAACAACGTATTGTCTCCATTTTCTACTAGAGTTATAAGAGGACTTCTGAGAAAGAGGTCAGGCAAGATATCGCATGGTTTATTATTTTTAGAAAAATAGAAAAAATTGTCTTGGTTGTTTCATCATTATGCATGTTTTGTTACTTATGTACTATCAAAGGGATCTGTGTTAAAGTTGTCAAAAACTTAAAATTTCTGTAATATGTATTATAATCATTATTATGATAACTTACATAATTCTATCACTTCTATGTTAAAATATTGTAATTTTTTATTTTGTTTTTACAGGCAATTGAAGCTAACATTCACCATATTTTTCATAATTCTTCCATCAGAGGTCATGATTATCTTCGCAACATTGTCCATTTACCTTTCTACCTGCAGAATAGTGGTTTAAGAAAAGTGAAAGTTGCACAAAAAGCTGCTCTTCAGACTTGTAAACATACAAACATGTGGATTGAAGAGAAAGAAGAAAAGGGACATGGATCAATTGTCAGTATTCAACAGGTACTCATATAGATATAAATTTATATATAAAATTAATATATTTGAAATAAAAAGAAAATTTATAAAGTATAATGAAAGTTCCCTGAACATGCTAATATAACCTAACTCAAATGATTTAACTGAGTGAAATTTATATTGTATTCCATTTCATTTAAATGCTTTTGAAATTAAATTATTTTTTTTCCATGTTCTTATTTTTAGAATACATAAGTAATTTTACACTTTATTTTTTTAAATGTACTAATTTGAGTTTCTCAAATGGGATTCCAGGATCCTGGTTGTTTTTTTAACTCAAGAAATATCCCGGGAAATTTTTCTTATCTTGGGAAATCCCGCAAATTTCTTAAAAATTCACTTTTTTTCTTATTTTGTGTTAAGGTAGAGGAATTTTGCAAATAGAAAGCATAATTAACTCATTCACTGTCAGAATACATTTGTATTTATTAATTTTAAACCTACCTATTGGTTTTTTTTTAATTTTTGCTCATTATGGCATGTCACAAATGGTCAATAATCAATACGTAGCTTATTTGTGGCAAGACTCTGAAAATTCTTTACTTGTCAGAACCTGTAATATATGGAATAATTGTGCTTATGCTGTCTTAATTTTTAACTATGCCCAATAGCTTTGATAACTGCGTAATGCCAGGTTATGCAAATTGGACAAGGATACAAACGAGTATGAAGTCTGCAAGTATGAAGTTTTTCTTCGTAAACCTGATTATTAAAGCCAAACGAATTGGTGAATTATCGAGCTATAAGCTTGATGCTGCTATTAAAGCAGTCGAGGTAGACAAATCAAGAATACTAGAGAGCAAATCTTGAAAACAATCTCGAAAACAAATTCGAAATCTTCCAGGCTACAGGTGAAAAAACATATCTGTCTTCTCTTAAATGCATTAAATGTGATTCCAATCATATCAATTGAATCAGAAAGGGCATTCTCAGTAGCAAGGCTTTTCATTACTAAAATAAGAATTAGAGTGAGTGATTGGAGTATTGACCATCTTTGCTTTTTAAAATCTTATAAAAGTGTACTTTGTCTTGTTGTTGTTGTATGCAATTTCCAACAAACTTTAATAAATTTTTTTCTATTTGTGTAATTCAAAGGTAATTTTTATTATATATCGTACTACGTAATTCAAAGGTAATTTTTATTATATATCGTACACAGCATTATTAATATGATTTTGGAGGTTACAGAACTTTAAAATTACTTTAAAAAATGAAAAATAATTGTATCATTTGATTTCATGATATTTTGTATATCTTAAAAATAATTAATTGTCCCGGGATTTCCCAGAATCCCGGAAAACAGTTCACTTTTATCCCAGAATCCCGGGACAAGCAAAAGACCAGGAAATGAGAAACCCTAATAAATAAAACTTAGAAACATTCCATGTTAGATGAAATTAGTAAAATTTAGTTATAATGTACAAGTGACCAATTCTACTGAATTGCATTTTATTCAATAATGTATCTATTTTCTTATTAATTATGGTAGCAGATGTAGTTTACTTTAAGCTTTTCCTGTCTCATTATATAATTTCTGCTCTCTTTCTCTAGGGACAATTAGAAAAATTTTTCCAACTTATAATACATTAAAGGACTTTATTTATATTATTTGTAATAAGTTTTGATATTTTAAGTTAGTGAGAAAAAAGCTTCTTTATTCTATCCTTAATTAACTTAAAATTCAAGATGTTAGTATCCAACCAATGAGAATTTATTGATATCTTAATAGGAAGATTTAAAAATCCAAAAGAATTTTTTTATCTTTCTGAAGAAATTATTTTAGTTTAAGATATGAAATAAATATTTTTGTTGTTCTATCACTGTTCTTAGTTTGTCTTATTTCCATCTATACATCATTAGTAGAAGCAGCAACTATTGTAAATAAAGTTTCATTAATTAAACTTACTCTGCACAAAAATAATTAACAATATTTTATATATGATATATTAATAAGTAGAGACTAAAATAATAAACTATGTTTAATATTGCTCAATTAAACTATTAGATTAATATATTAAGTATAATGTAGTAAACAATCTTTAGTGTTTAGAAAATTTTTTCTTAAAATATTATACTAATTAAATATTTTATTTTCATGTAATTGAATACAAAATAAATGTACCAGACAAATAGGAGAACTTCAGCATCAAGTGTTTCTATACCAGATATATTTCGGAAAAGTCGAAAGAGTGCTCATAAGTTGAAAAATAGTGACAGTATAGGAAGCAGCATTTGCAATGTACATCATAATGTAACCGGTGCTCATGATTTGACAAAAGTTTTATTAACAGATGACTATTTTAGTGATATCAATCCTCGTTCTATGAGAAGACTACTTAATATTGTTTACATAACTGGTAAGTAAATTCCAAAACTTAAATGTTATATTTTAAATATTATGTTTTAAATTTCATCTTTAAAACAAGGATTTAATTCAAAATTTTTTTGTTTATTTTAATAGGTAGATTGCTGAAAGCATTTAATATAGATTTCAATTGGTATCATTTGGCTGTTTGGGTGAATACCACCGAACGTTGGCCTTATCGCATATCTTGGATTATAATGTATTATGAAATTCATGAAAATGAATTAGATGATCCACTTTCATTAAAAGCAATATTTGAGAAGTATATTCAAAAGTTTCATTTAGATATTTTATTTTTAAAACAATTTTTTTTATTGAAAATTATTTTTATAGGATAAAAGTACATATTCCTACTTCAAAGGAAGAAGAGCCAATGTTGGATCTTGATCACGATGAAAGAAAGTTTGATGTTTTCCTTTCTATTCATTCAAGTACTCTACAAGTTATTGATTTAAAAATATTTTTACCCTTTACAATTAATCTTGATCCTTACATAAGAAAATCAATTCATGGTAAATATTTTTATTTAAGTTTGTTCAATTTTAATTATCTACCTTTATCTATTTGCTTTCTACTAATTCTTAAATAATTCACAAAATAATATGCTTAAATTAATAATGAAAATAGTCATTAAATTGCTCTTTCTTATACATTCTTTACATATCTTCAGAATATATTTAAAAACACAACAATGACTTTTACTGAGAGGCTAATCAGTTACAGAATGTCTTTATAATATTGAAGATAATCTCCACATAATTGATTATTTTTCTTTATTAATACAACTTGAAAAATATATGAAGAATGCATTCAAAATTCTTAATTAGTGATAATTTTATTTCTGATTTTAATTTAGAAAATTTTTTTACTAGGAGTTTATATTAAATATATGATAATTCTTGATAGCCTTTATCAAATAGATTTAATTATTACTATTATTTACATTTTTGTTAAAAAAATTTTGTTCACATTTCAGAGGATCAGCATCATTTAACTGCTTTGATTAAAGGTACTACTACACATGGTGATAATACTCTTCCAGTAGTATCATATGGTGGACAAAATCGCTGGGGCAGATTTAGTCCCCCAAGACCTCCATCTTCTCACACTTGGGCTTCACCTCAGTCATATCTTTGGAGATCAGAACTAAGACAAGATTCAGGTCATGGAACATTATCACCAGGACCAACAGTGTGGTGGGATTATCCAGTTGAGAATGCTAACTTTAGACAATGCCCCAAACAAGTAGTAAGGAATCAAACTAGTTTTGTTTTTGTATTTTTATGAAATATTCTAGATATTTCTGATTTATAAAAATTAGTTTGTAAAAATTAAATTAACAAAAAAATCATATATTCTTAAATTATTAATAAATGTTTATATATTTTCAGACACTTCCAAATCAACAAAAATTAAGTACATTATCTCTTGAAGGTGTTATTAATGTAATTTCATCATTAGAAAATATAAACAAAAATAAGTTATCAGAATATAGCAAAGTTGTTACACAAAATAATATTAATGGTCTTGTGCTATTAACTTGTGATTTGAATGAATTGAAAGACGTATTAAAAATGTCTTTTGGTGATTGGGAATTATTCAGAGTTGCAATTCTTTCATTGAGAGATCAAGAATATCAAGTAGTAACTGTTAGTGAAGGTGATAGATCACGTTCTTCATCAGTGAGAGACAAAACTCGGCAAACAAATACAGATACAACTCAGGAAAAACCAAAATCTTCAAATAATGTTTCTGAAAATACTGAAAGAACAGAAGGAAGATCAAGACGACCAAATATTGCATTGGAAAAACAGGTTTATAAGTACAATTATTTTTTAAACAAATTTTTAGTTTAAATTTACTCTAGTCAGTTTGGCTTTATAAATTAGTAATAATAAATTATTANGAAAACATTTGTTTAATTAACTAAAGTCATTTTGCTGGATAAAAAGGTGTGTTTATCTGTAGAATTATCTCCAATTATGTTTGTCTCATGTTTTTTTTAAATACATACGGTAAATGTAATATTAAATTTAATAAGTAATTAAACTTACAATTACTGTAACATTGTACATTATTTCACAATAAGAAAAACAGTATAGCTGTCAAAAGACAGTACCAAAGAATGACACAACTTTTCCTTTAGTTAGGCTTTGTGATTACTTACTCTCATTCATATGGCACCCCTGTATGCAAGGAATGGCTGGGTTAGCAAGAGTGTAGTGTAATAAAATTTTAAAAAGTTATTAAAAGACTGTAATTATATAACAGAATGATGATAGAAACAATAGCACTTTCCAAAAGTCAGTAACATGCAACATAATATACCAGTACTATTAACACGCATCAGTTTCTGTTGTCACATTAATTTTACACTTGGTGCATTGTTTTACTGCTAATTTCATTTTACATTATGTAGGAATGTAATAACCTATGTTGACTGATATAGATAACTTTTATCTATTTTAAGTAATACCTTCAAGTATTATTTTAATTATTTGGTTTAATATGATTTTAATTTTAAATAAATTACTCTACAAATGCAACATTTTATTTTTTAAAATGCTTACAACAATCCTATAAATGTAATGTAAAAAAGTCAGTTTTTCAATTGAATACTTAAATAAATAAATAAAAAATATATATATTATTATTTATTATTCTAAATTGAAAAATTACTCAATATGCATCATTATTTAAAAGCATTTATTTTATGTAGGTAACTTTAGAAGAAAGTCTGATATTTGGTGCCTTAGAAACATTAAATGAAGAAGCACAGGAAGATGCTTTAGAAGAAAAATTAGAAAGACAAGAAAATTTGAATGAAAGTTATACTCCAGTATTATCTGTTTCTGAAGATCATTTATCAGACACTGATTCACATAGTACAATTGGTAGTGTTGTTATTAGTCCTACAGAAGTAGATGTTTTATATATACCTCGTGATTCGCCTTCTCTCAGAGTCAGGTACTTTGAATTATTAAAATTAATTTCTAATTTCTTAACCTTTAAGTTTTTGATTATTGAAATTCATATTTGTTTTTTAGGGCTACATCACTTCCAGATGCTGTTCCAGATATAGAACAAGGTTCAGCTACAGAATCAATATTTGTATCTTCTGGTGAAATTTCAACTTCACATAGTTTACCAAATGCTGGAGAATTCAAGCATGTTAATTCTGCTTTATCAGTTCCTAGTCCATCAAAATATATGATTAAAGCTTTATCCCATGAAGATGATTTAAAAAGAGCAGTATTAACTGCTAGTATGGAGAGGTTATCTAAAAGAAGAGGTAGACTTCCATCTTCCGGTAGTGATGCACCATCTTCTCCGATGTCTGAAAAATCTGCTAGGCAGTGCAAAACATCACACATAGCATCTAGTCAGCCAAAAGTATTTGATAGTGATTCGTCTGATAGCTCAAGTAATAATTCACAAGAAAAATTGCTTGGGTCAGATAAAAGAGAAGACACTCAAAAACTTCAATCCATTTCTGCTGGCGAGAATACGGAAGGCTTTTACTTAGACGATGAGCACACACCCTTAGTATCACCTACACATTCTGTAAAATTGGATTTTCAGACTCAAGTGTACAACAGTAATCAAATAATCGAATCACCGACTAGTCCACAAACTCCCGTTGTAGACGAACACAGGCGAATACATCGGCAGTTTTCTATTGACATTCCTTCCGAAGGCATTAGTGATCAGACTCCGATACTTAATTCAAATGCAATGCAACAAAGTGCCTCCAATATTACATTTTATCCATCAAACGTACAAAGTCAGAATTGCAATCAGGTATTACTGTTTGCAAAATCCCCCAGTAGTAGTTTTCCTACAAGCCCACAACAAATGAATATATCTTCAAGCGAATCATTATCAGAGATTCTCGATGAAACCATCCTTTAATAAAAACACTTAATTTTAACAAGATCGCATTATATGTGATAGTAGTGTAATATCTAGTAAAATTTATATAAATTAAAATAAATTTATAATTTGATAAGAGAAATAATCATATATTTAAATTGTGAATTTTATGAAATAGTGAAACTCCAGTTTTATATTTTTTTTTGTATATAATACTTAACTGCATTAAATATATTTTTTTGTATTAAATGTTTGCATCTTTACAGCAGTTTTACAAGCAATGTAAATATCTTGTAAAAATTATTTAGAGTTTTTGTAAAACAGAAAAGTGCAATATTTGTTAATCAAGAAAATGTATAATTCCATAATCGTGTTGCTAACATATTTTAAATTACAAAAACCTATATTAGGATTTCTATAATAATAAAAAATGTTAATGAAACTTAATAGTGATATCATTTATGACAAATATTCACATTAAACAAAGTCAGATTATCTTATGGTGCATTTTAGCATTTAAATTAATACAAATTTAGTATAATCTATTATAGATGGTCTGGCTCTATGATGTTTATTCTTTTACAGGTAAAGTATGGCACTAAGAGGAATGAATTCAAGTTATTTTGATGGTGTGGACCCACAGCATGAAGTGACAAAGAGTTTAGCAGACTGCATCCAGACCACTTTGTGATTAGCAAGAAGTCTGGATGCAGCCTGTTTGGTCACTTCACACTGACTGCAAATCCACACCACCAAAATAACTTGTAAGGATATACTCATTCTTAGCGCTATGCTTCACTTGTAAAAGAATAAACAGACATTGGCATAATTTTATGGGGCCAGATTTATGGGAAACCCTATATATTTAAGAATTTTATAAGTTTATATTCAGTAAATATTGTAACAACGTTTTGTAATTGAAAAGCATTATCCTAGAAATGCAAATTTCTGAAAAAAAAGCAAAGAATAGGGAAAAAGTCATTTAAAAAATATTTAAGTTTTTAATAAATGGATTTTAAAGGATTATTTTTGATTTAGATATTATCAAAAAATGAAGTAAAAATTACATTTGAGTGTGTTAAATTTTGAAATTTTACATACTCAAATATGCCAAAGAAGTGAATATTATAATAAAATCTCTATTTATTAAATACAGTTTTAATTTTTTCAATTATATTTAATGGCTGATATATAATTAGAGAGATCAGTTTATACAATTCTGTCGATTGCCTTAACACACGCATTTGTGAAAATAGAGAAAACGAAGTGAAGAATGAACTCTAATTAAAGTTTATACTAATTATAGCGGTGCGAATTTCTAATTGTATATAATTTGTATACATATATAGGGGAACCCAGGGCGGAATGGGAAAGACGATTTACATATGAAAGAGAGGTGAGGGAATTAGTTCGCTCCCTGTCCTACACTCAGACTGCGACAACATGTCAGTGTGAATACTTGGTTACCGAGATTCGTTTTGTCGTTGACCAATAAAACCTTGCGTCGTGATTTTTTGATGAAATTAAGTGTATCAACATTAAAACAATGAAAGTATATGGTATAGTTTAAAACTTAACCAAATTTATATAGTCTAGTTTATTAAAGATTTGTTTGTTTGTATTTTTAGAATGAAATAATGCAAAAAGTAATCATAAACTTTTTTCTCTATTTGATTGTTAGAAGCATGTGCTTTGGGGCACAATGGGACGGTTTCCCGTAAAGGAAAAGGAAATAAAAAAAAAACAAAGTCTAATAAAAAAGAACAAGGGGACGATTACGTGGGAGGAGGAGATGATACGAGTTGCCTTTACTTCACCGAGGCCCACTCAGTCGATTGAGGGTTGGTGTTCGTGTGTCGCATGCAAAAAATGGGCTCATACGTCTTGTGCAGATTTTGACAGCGACGATGACGATTCCGTGCTGGTTTGCAAGTTTTGTAAGCAACAAGACTAATATTTATTTTCTAATATTTGAGCACTAATCTCATACCCCATCCTGCCCCGAGTGCGGGACAGAACGAGATGTGAGCAAGCTTTTTTTTTTTTAATGATTTATTTTTCATACAGAATTATTGGAAATTATATAATTTTGTATTTCCCTTTCTTTATTATAAAACAAAACTTGTAAAGATTAAATTTTTATATCTCATTTTTAAATCAAAAGAGTCCTCTTTTTTTTTTTTAATGATTTGTTTATGGTAACTCTATCAAAGCGTACTTACTTTATGTTTATATCTTACCTTATTAGCCTTGGATAGCAATACAGAAACGTTACGTAAACTAATTTATTTTTAATTTACAGATAATTTATAATAATAATAATAATACAAGCATACTTACACCCGACTCTTCTTTACCGGGTTGTAACCCAGCTGCTGCCATGTAAGTACTCCCAATTGTTTTAATCTTTTCAATTCCACTAAATTTCGGTTTTAACAATAACTGTAAACAATATTTATTATTATTTTTTTTTTTACAAAACTTATCTTCTTCTATTTAAAATATAGAAAAAATAATGTAAAAAATACCTTATCAAAATCGCATATGATTTCATTCAATAACCTTAAACACTCCAAGCCTTGTTTATTAATATCGTTTTCATCATAAAATTCTTTATAATTTGGTATGGAAGCGAACATAACTGCCACGCTACAATATCTTTCGTGATATAATTCCTATAATTTAAACAAATAATAGATTATTTTATGTATTAATACTTTATTAACTTGAAAACCTAACTACGTTCTCCAGATTAATAACTATTATTGTGTATTATTTAACGGTGTTTAACTGTTAAGTATTTGTTTAAAAAACAAGAACATTTCTGTAGACAGCACTCAATTAATTTTTTTTGTTTTTTAGTTAAAAATATTAAAAATAAAAGTAAAATTATGGCGCTTATTTTCACCAAAAGGTTCGTTTTACTTTCCCGGTTGTTATACATAACAGAGGGAAAGTATGACGATCGGTCAAAAAATAAACCCCTCCCCCGCCAAGATTTTTACATTTTTGGATTCAGGAAACCTTGAAACGTCGAGAAATGCAGAAAAATTCGGGGGTTTTTTCCCCTGTATGTATGGATGTTAGTGGGGGGAGGGACAAGATTTTGTTCGCCATATTTGAAGCTTAATAACTCCTGTGCTTTTTGTCGAAAACTTGTGAAATTTGGCAGGGAGGTTTGTTTATTATGTGGTTTGATGCTGTTAAATTTTGGTGATTTAAGGTCGAGGAGATGGGGAGATAAAGGGATCCGCGTGTATCTCCAGTAGGGTCGGACATAATGACGATTTTACTCATTATTAGCAATTTAGAATTGTTTATAAAACGCATCCCCACTCTCAAAATTAAGTTATTATTATTATTATTATTCGCCGAAATTGTTTGATTCGTGTAATTTCGAGTTAAGCAATCGATTTATATAAATGAATAACGACAGAAGAAATCTTAAGTAACACATCAATTCGCATTAAAGAAAATCTGTCTATAAATTTGTATAGATTATTGTCAAAAAAAAATCAATAAATAAAAAGAAAAAAGAAACATTAATCTATATTATAAACGAATACAAAGTTTTCTCGGTGTAATTTTAAAAACTCATCAATTTTACGTCACCAATTTATTTCCTGATAAATAATATTTGATGGTTTTATCCTTCTCTAGCGTACGTCAATCGACTTATCATCATTGTTGACTTAAGTCGACAAATCTTTTGAAATGTTTTTCTCATTCGTCACTATTGCCAACTTGGGGGAGATATGAGTGACGTGCGAGATATAACTTATGTATATATTTTACTTACGTAAAGGAATATTTTCTGTTCTTCGGTAGCACGATTCTCTTTTGATGCAAGATTAGAAGAAATAAGTAAGTTTTTTTTTAAGATTTAATTGTGTAACATGTTTTAAATTACGTGCTTTACTTGCTTATAGAACTGTAAAATGATTGAAAATATAATCATTTCGTGTTCGTACAGTAAAAATTGAAAATGTATGTACACCCTTTGGGTACATTCTATATTCCGTAGCATGGGTATTAAGTGAATTTCTTTCCCACCCTGAATATAGGCCATTTTTTTAAGTTATTTTTTTTTTTTAATTTTTGGGTAAGTAAGGGCATATATTCTCTCTATTCTCAATAATACGCTTAATATATTACCTTAATCCCCATAAGTTAAGTAATATATATCGTCTATTTGTTATTTAATCGTAATTTCAGTAATTTATTCATTTATCCATTAAATATTTACTAGTGCATAAAAT